CACTGATGCCATTGATAATCACGTTACGTCTGTTATAATAGTTGTGTTGTTTATAGTTTATTTAATAAAACATTCTTTTTGGCACTTCAACCTGCTTGGTCTCCCCCTTACTGTCACATATGAGCCGGGATGTGATACAAAGAAACATTCCAGCATTTTAAGAACTACGCATTCTTTAGTTATCATCAATATCAGGTTCATCTGTGCAGAGATGTGGTCCAAGATGTGTTTAGCCTAGCCAAAGTCAAAGCAAAACTAAGTTTATTAAAACTTAATTTTTTTATCTTGGAATATCAGTTCTATCAGTGAAGTAATCAGGGACATCACTAGGATTGAAAGACGGGGGGGGGGGCTTAGCCCTCCACATTACTGTAATGTTACATGGGCCTCAGAAGCAATATATATGGGTGGGTCCTTCTCCAGGATTTTTTAAATATATGTAGCCTATATTTATGTCAAGAGAACAAGATGTGATGTTTTTTAACACTGTTTTATAGAAATTGTCATTACTTATTGCTTTTATGCTATTTTAAAGCTGCCAAGTTTAGTGTTTTGCTCTAAACTGCATTGTGTTGTATTTTGTGACAATAGAGTCTCTGTCATGAATCCTGAAATCTGAAATTTTGAGCATTAAACACTTAATCCTGCATTCTGGTGAATTTTTCTTGTCTTTCCTGCATCAATTCTTGGTGGAAATGTTTTTATTTCTGCAAAGGGAAACACAAATTCAGGTGGCAGATGACAATTCAAAATCTAAAACTCAACAGAACTTAAGTCAGTGCAGCTCTCAGTCATTCTGTGTTGCTTTCAGATATGTTTCTCCTGTAGATCAACTTTCTCATGTAATATCGTCCCTGCTGAGTCAGCACACATGCAGATGTGGGAAACAATAATTGTGTCTAGTGCATTTTTGAATCAGATTTGGTTCTGGTACCACAGCTAGCTTCTCTCATTGACCTGGATTCAAAGAGTTGCTAACTCTGGTTGATTAACGTTAACATTACTGTAGTTCGCTAGCTTAGCAAAGATGTCAGATAACTCTGTTATAAGTGTAACTGTAATTCAGTGCTGCAACAAAGACTACATGATGCCTTTAAAAAGCATCAAGTGAACAAATGACTTAAAAAGCGGCTTTTTTAGTGACAGTATGTGAGCACAAAGACACACCTGAGCATCAGATATCCTAAAATGCTTTGTTTACCTCGCTGTGTCACAGCAGTGCAGCAGGCACGAGCTTTAGCTTTTAGACACATCAACGCTGCATGGGGGGAATTCACTTAGGCCAGACTGAGTTCTTCTGTAGGCTGTGAGTAAAATGCTACCCAGCTGCTGATGTAAGTGTGTGATAAAGTAATACCATATCTAATTCCTCTCTCTCTTATATTAGTTGCAGGTCCAAAGAATTCTATTTAGTTACACTAATTAATGTTACTGTACTGTAGGTTGGTTCAATCAGAGTGTGATTTTGCTCTGTAGTTTGGTTTTCATACAAACATGCATACATTAGCTGTTGATAGGGATCTTATTTAAAGTGGCTACTGTCTGAATTTAATAACCTGATCATGGAAGGAATAAAAGATTTGGAATAATGATAACTATATGTATGGATACATGTATGTATGATTGCTTTTATTTTATTTTCCTGTGTGTATATCTGTGGGTATATGCACATGTATGGCCTACCCATTTAGGCAACATCTATATATCTATTTAATTTATTACAGCCAATAAATGCAGAAAGTTAAGTTGGTCAGAATATAGCAAATATAATTAACATCATGAAATAATTTAGTTTAGGCTTTGCCTTGTTGCCTAGACCTGCCAACAATTGTCTGTTGTTAGAAGAAAACAAAACAGCCCACATTTCCTTAAAACTGTAGGCCACAGACTTACTGACCTGTAGCCCTCTGCTGACCTCAGAATCAGCTGCCCTGCCTGTGTCCTGCTTCTCTCTCTCTCTCTCTCTCCTAAAATATCTTCAATATGCATCTGGTCAATGAATGGAAAGATATATAACAGCATCAACAGGGACACTATGACATTTAGTTTTCACTGACAACAACATTATATGGGGACTGATATTGTTTTGAAATAGGCTACTAGAGATAGGCAACATTATTGGCATTCACATTATCTAACGTAGCTAAAGTTCAGCAAGTAATGGTTACTAATAGGGATGAGGATCGAGAACTGGTTCTAAAAGGACCCGGTTCCAACATTTCTCAAAACCCGAAAATCAATAAGGTCTGATCTTATCGATACTGCTATCAAGACTAGCGGGGCTTTAACGTTAAGTCTCAAACGTCAAATCTGATTTAACTTAAAACGTGATGGATAGGAAAACTAATGTTTCTAATGATGGCACCAAACGCGGTATCAAACAGGCCCAGGACTGTTTATAATCAGGCTACAGGCTCTGTCTTCTAGTGATGTGCGATACTACTTAATTCCTATCCCATCCAATACCAAGTAATACCCAGGCTGGTATTGCCGATACCGATAGCAATACTTTTAACATATTTTATTTCTAGTTTAATGTGACCTCCCTCTCCTGTTTCTGTATTTATGAGAGAAATAAGGGTGGGTTGTGGCTTTACCAATTCAAAATAATAGCTGCATGATGACAAGAAATCAAACTACTGTCATATTCTTTAATTATAATGAAAATCTCCTGCTCAGAAATGCAGCCTCATTATTACCTTCACAGCTAAAATACAGCCAGACGTGACAGCTTTTACAGTCAGCCAGAGTCAGTATTCAATCGCGGGAATGTAAAGGGCTGCAGCGGCTCACTTCAAAGAAGCTCCGTCACAGAGCCTTAGCTAAAGCATGACTTTGACAGGCGGAAGGAGAAGTAGTTCCTATCAACCGAGTAGCCTATAACTAGACCATCCTGGTAACAGTTAGATACTTATGATAAAACACTCACTCACCCCAAATTACTGAGTTTAGATATCGATCCTTTTATATGAGCATCGATCCTAGAGCAGGAAACGTTGGTATCAGAAATATCGATACTTTAGGATCGATCCACACATCACCACTGTCTGCTCTCTGTCGGCTTCTACACACACACACACAGCACGCGAGTTGCCAACAGCTAGGCTTGTTACTGTAAGTACGTGCAATAAAACCTTTGCGAGTAAAAAGACAATACTTTATCAATACACCTGTCTGTAAGGTAAACATCTCTGAGCTCAGTCTGTCATACTGTATGTCGTGTACAAGTGCAGCTAACGTTAGCTTGGCAGTTAGCCAAATGTAAAAAAAAAAACAACTAGAAACAAGAAAGCTGTCAGTCTGTAGCATAGACTGGTCTGTAGTCAGCTGCTGATTCATTTATGTTGTTTAAAAATATATGCTCCAAATTATCGAGGTTGACTGCCTCCAATCATCATCCAAGCAACATGCGGCATTAGATTAAACTAACTAACACTATTAGCAAGTTACATATACAGGATTCATATAGCCTTATAATATACCATATTGACCTTGATTATGGAATACCCACATTTTTTAAAGGATTTTTAAAAAATCTAATCTTGTTTCTATAAATAAAGTAATATGACCAGAATGCACAGCTGATATACCTTTTAATAGCTGATTTACCTCTTTGAATGGGCCAAAAATTGAACTGCAGCCTATTACTGCCTAACATAGTTTAACCATCTAGTCATCATCAAGTGAAAAATACAACCATAAATAGCAAGTTGCTTAATACTAAACATGTCACGCTAGCTTACTGAGAAAGGGGCTAAACATTTTCTCCAAAGTTGAACTGTCTTCACCATGAGGTTGACCACATCTCAAGTATCTTCTTGTAGTCAATTTTAGTAGTCACTTTGTGAGCTCACCTTGTCTCACTTCCTCTACAACAAATGAGGGACCTACCGATTGCTGCCAAATGCAGCACTTTTGAACACAAGTAAACAGGTGTAATAATAAGAAGCCGCCTAGGCAAAAATTGAATACTTCGCCTGCACATACATACACACGCACAAGCTTAAGTATGTGTGTAGGCGCAAGGTTAAGTGTGTACAAATGCATGAGGTGAGTATGTTCAAGGATTGGGACAGTGGGATCTATAGAACAGTGGATAGAACTCTTGCCTTTGGTGTGGGAAAGATGGGTTTGATTCCCACTCGTGTCATTGCTCTTCATGCTTTCTTTTAATTTTGGGGGGGATAAAGTGACTTCCAAATGACTAAATGTACATGGAAGAGGAAGGTTCCTGTAGAAAGTTCTCAAGTAGGTGAAACCATGTTAGCTATGTAACTATGATTCTTATCCCTGTGTGATTGTCAAATTAGCAATGTTGTTTTGTGTCTTTATATTTTCACGCTTGATGCAGGTGCAGTCCAGAAAACTGGTTTACTGATAACTCTGTTAACTTGTGCGACAGCCCACTGTAGTGTGGGAGGAGAATCTGCCACTTACAGGCTGGGAGCTAATCAAAAAAATGCATCAGCTAAATTGGTAAATGCCAATGTAATGTTTTATACACATAAAACTAGCAATATCAGTGAGGTGTAGTGGCGCTTTGACCCCAGTCTTGAAAGGCTGCTATAAGTTTTACATGCCACCAGATGTCACTGTGTTTGCTGAATAAATGTTCTGGGTCTAATATTCATATTAATGAAGATCACATTTACTTGGCACTGTTGGGGACCCTTGATTTGCTATCAGAGCATCCCTACCTTTCCACATGTTAACGAAACTCAAAAATAGTAACATCAAACCAAACCCATATCCTCATTTTAGGTGGCAGGAATGAAAATTAGTCATCCTCAACATTTGTTGTGATGATTTTTCCCTGGGCAACTACCATGTTGTACCAAAATAACGTACAGATTTTTAGGTGTTCTTTTATCTGATTTGGGCTAAGCCCCGATGTTTACAGCTGCTTCTGCCCCTGGTGAAAATGTGTATATCAATTGCCTTTTCAAGACACAATAGGTGTTTCTATGTAAAAAACAAAACAAAAGAAACCCACAGACAAATGATTTTTATATTTATTTATTTTTGGAAGTACCTGACTCTTGCAGTGAAGAGCTCAGTTTTTTTTTTTTCTCAAGATGTTGGGAAGTTACCTCTCATTTATGTAATGGAGTATAATAGATCTCTAAATAAGCTGTAAGCTCCACCACAAAAAAGTAATATGTTTTCTACCACCCTACCTTGTTCTCTTCCTGTGTTGCAACAAAGTTTCAGATCAAGAGACAAACAATTTTGCCATAACCATAGCATAACTCACTCTCAATTCTGCTTGCGTGTGCACGGTGCGAGAGGCGAGGGAGAGATACTGTGCTGCTGCCAGAAGAGTCGCTGATCTAATAGATATGTGTATATTTCATCACTCTCCCTGATGATCGGAATAACTCACATGATTGTTGCTAGATACTTTTTACAAATAAAGTAGCTGAAAGTCGAGGATATGAAAACTCTAGCAAAAAAGTCATAGATACTGCAATGAGTGTGTCAGTTACCGGCGTGTGTGAGGGGGCACAAAAGATTCAGTTGTATGAGCTCATCATTCATATTGAATATTTTAACACAAAAAAAGACCAATTGCTAAAGACAAAATACCTGTGAACCAAAACGCAGTGGACTCGTAGTAGAGAATGAGATCTGTTAACCCTGCGTGTTCCTAATACATTGACCAGACACTGACGGACAACAGTGGTTATATTTACATGTTTTTAATCACAGTTATTGCTAAAGACAACTCAGTAGTCGCTGAATATTGGTAGAGACATGTCCCTACCAAAACAAGACCTTATAGGAGACCATGAAGGAGTCACAGTAGGCATGTAGCATCTGGTCCACAGGGCTGTAGTTCAGGGAATAAATGTTGGGAGACATCTTGTTGATGAAAACTCCAACGTTGAACCTTTCTACCCCCGTCGTGGTGTCAAATGCATAGAAGATCTCCTCCATGGTTTTGTTGACATACCGTGTTGCGTAGAGCACGCCACAGGCCATGAAGGTGTTGGTCACCCCCTGCTTGTAGACCGAGGTGTGCCAGGTCTGGCCAAGAGTCATTGGTTCACCCTCCTCCACCTTGGACAGCACCAGGTTGCCAAAGTCCTGGTTTGTGGTATAGATCACCCAAACACCTGACTCATCTGTTGCCAGGTCCAGGTCGGTGAACGGGTAGCATTCCTCAAGGTGGCAGAAGTTACCCTTTGAGTTAAACCTGAAAACAAAACAGACGACAGAAGTGATGTTTCCTTTTTAGAAATGAGAACTTGGAAAACAATGTATCAGCATCTTAGTTTCATGGACTCATTATGCTTGCTTTGGCACATTCATAATTTTACATTTATGTAACCTTTTACAAAGGTTGATTCATACATTATAATTTTTATATTCTTGTTTTGTTGTTCTTACAAAACTATAGAATACACAAATGTGCAAGATAACCTTTTTGCATTATTTCTGACATCAGCAACATCATTCAAATAATAATCTTAAAGACTGATTTGATCAGCGAACCTGGTGCCTTTGGGTAGTTGTAAGGTGGTGATAGTTTTGGTGTTGAGGTTGAATCGACAAACAGCATCTAGGTTGTAACAGTTGTAGTACAAGGCCTCTCCATACAGCACAACATTCGGACCCTGGATAGTGTTGGTGGCTGGGTTAGAGGAGTGGATCTGGACATTACCTGGAAGACGAACAAGAAGAAGCATGAGAAGGAGGCGCAAACATCAACATAAGCAAGTTTTCCATCATTCGTTAATATTAAAGAAAACAATCAATAGTAGTCTACTCAACTAGTTTACCTTCCTACAGCATATGTTTCTGGGTTAAAGACCATTCAATGTCCAGGTGCAGTGTATTTACTGAACTTTAAATAATAATAATAATAATACATTTATTTCTATAGTGCTTTTCAGGACACCCAAAGACACTTTACAGGTAAAAGCAGAAGTTATGTATGTTTAAAACTGATTAAAAACATAAATAGCATAATATAAAATATACGAACATAATATTTGATGTTAAAAGCCAGTCTAAAAAGGTACGTTTTGATAAATGATTTGAAAGAGTCCATGTCGCTGCAATCTCAGATGTGTATGGGTAAGGAGTTCCAGAGGGAGGGGGCTGCAATGGTGAAAGCTCTGTCGCCCCAGGTACGGTGCTTGGTCCTGATTTGTGGTGAGAGGAGGTTAGTTTCAGAGGAGCAGAGGTTTCAGGAGGGATTGTGGTGGTGGAGCAGATCTGTGATGTAGGAGGGGGCCTTGTTATGGAGGGCTTTATGTGTGAGGAGGAAGATTTTGTACTGAATGCGTTTGTACTCCCTGCGGAACAGGGAGCCAGTGAAGATTCTGGAGGACAGGGGTGATGTGGTCACGGGTGCGTGTGTGTGTGAGGAGGCGGGCAGCAGAGTTTTTGATATATTGAAGATTATTTAGGGATTTGGCAGGTAAACCATGGAGGATGCTATTGCAGTAATCAATTCTGGATGTAATGAAGGCGTGGATCAGGGTTTCGGCAGCAGGTAAGGTGAGTGATGGGCGGAGACAGGCAATGTTTTTGAGGTGAAAGAAGGCAGTCCTGGTGACATGGCTGATGGTGTTCAAAAGTGGAGTGGTTGATGGTGTCGAAGGCTGCAGTGAGGTCGAGCATGATTAGGATGGTGAGGTGACCGGAGTCGGCAGAGAGGAGGAGGTCATTCGTTATTTTGAGGAGGGCTGTTAGTGGTGAGGTGGGTTTGAATTTGAGCAGCAATAACACGTTCCAGGATTTTTGATAGGAGATTGGCGATGGGTTGGAAATTGGAAATGATGTCGGGGTTGAGATCAGGTTTCTTGAGGATGGGGTGACAGCTGCAACTCTGAGTGTTGTGGGGACTGATCCAGATGTGAGGGAGGAATTAATGATTTTGATGATGAGTGGGGTGATGGATGGAAGGCAGGTCTTGTTTAGGGATGATGGGATAGGGTCTAAGCTGCAGGTGGAGTTCATTTTTGTGGTGAATTGTTCTAAAGGGGACAGAGGTGAGAAACAAGACAGTGACTGAGAGTGTGGAGGGATGGGGGCAGGTGGTGGGGTTGAGGGGACAGGGAAGTAGTGAAGTTGCTGTAGATAGTGACTTTTGGGGTGGGAATGGGGATATTAATGTCCATTATGATTGCAAGATGGTCTGAGATGTGGAGGTTAATGCCGGAAATATGATGTAATGTGAGACCAGTAGAGCAGACCAGGTCGAGGATGTGACTATGGGAATGGGTGGGGGAGTTGAGCTGGGTCAGGAAATGAGAGAAGTCGGACAGAAAGGTGGGGTTTGGCTCGGGGGGGGTAGATGATGGATGTGACAAGGGGAGTGGGACCAGAGAGTTTAAAGGTGAGATTTTTAAAAGACAGAAAAGTAAGTGTTCAGTTAGTAACAGTTAGTGAGAAGTAATCCAGGGGTTTGTGCCAGGTTTCTGTAAGGCAGATGTTGTGCTTACTGATCGAGTATTGAGCAGGGCCATTTTCAGGTGATGTTGTTTTGGGATTTGTTGGGAGGACTGGGAGAGAGGACGGAGGTTGAAGAGATTTACCTGTGAGTTTTTGTGATGACATGGTGAGGAGATGCTTTTTGACCACATTGAGGGGATGCAGTTTAGCGCTGAGAAGTGGTATGAAAATAGGTGAACAGGGCATTTATGTGAAGGAAGGGTTAGTGACATGTGACGCCGCAAGGGGGGAGCTGGTGAGGGTAATTGAACTAGGGGCAGCTGCGGTGGGCGGAGAAGAAGACTTCAGGGAAACGATGTGTGGTGTAAATAGTCACACACATGAGGCAGACTGTACAGCATGTTGTAGGTTGGCTGCTAAAAAACGAGTTACCCAGTCAGTTGGGGTACACGCCATTGGTCCTATAAAAAGAGAAACGGTTCCAAAACAAATTAAAATTTTCAATAAAACCAAAGTTGTGAGCATGGCAGGTGGACTAGAGCCAGGTGTTGACGCTGAGGAGTCTGCTGAAGCTTTGAGTCATGGGGCAGAGTTGGTAAGGGACCACTGATAAAAACTGATTTACCACAACTTTTTAAAAGGTTAAAAAGTTCAATAAAATCCTTTTTTGTCTGCTCAGATTCCCGACGAGCTGTGTCATTATGGCCAATATGGACAAGCAATCGCTTTATGGATGATGGGAGTGAGTAGTTTGCTCAGCAGAGACTGTGGCTCCAGGAAGACAGCGTGTGGTTAAAGCACCCAACAGTTAACATCCTTTCCCCCCCGTAAACAATCAGTAACACTTGTCATGTTGCAGTGAGCCAATTAGTTTAATTTATTAGAACAGCTTTTCCTCCAAGCTTCGTGCACATTTGAATAGAAATAGAAATAGAAAATCTGCCCCCTTTCAAATCTTATATTTCTGCATGTTCATTAGTATGTGTTGCATGTGCATGCTCACTGAGCTGATTTCTAACATCAACACTCGAAGTAGAACACAAGAGTTCTTTACCTGGGCGCTCACCCCAACAATGAGAGAGCTCAGGCTAGAGTAGAGACGGACGTAGTTGGCGTATCTGTTGTTGGTAGTCATCATTACCAGCCAATACCAGCTCTCCTTTCCCACCGCTGGTTTGGGATCCCGACCCCAGGCTCCATACTTGTGGGAGCCAGGGTACTCTCCTGCTGTGTACACCCTCGGGCCAGTAATGTTCCGAAATTGACCGTGGGGACATTTACCTTGGGGGAGAAAAACATGAAATGAAGCAGCAGTTGAGCGGGACGTCCAGTGGTTGATCGTTACTTCCTAATTGTGGTGATTAGTGCTGAGAGCTTCCCACAGTGCATTTACAGGCTACATTAGCTCTTACTGAGGAGGGCCCTTCACAGCTGTGAGTGACTTCATTTGAAGTGTCACTTTCTGGTGCAGAACCAGAATGGTCTCGGATGTTGGGTGTAAATTTGCTGGAGGTTAGGGTCTGGTCACATCTGATTTGATCTGATTTTGCTCAGGTAAAATATCAAGCAACTCATTATGATTACAAAGGAGAGAAGGAAGCCCAAACTGTTTCTATTGATTGACAATGTGATTTTTCAAAATTTATCCCACACCTCCAGGTCTCTCTGTTGCTCAGATAATCCCTGCTACCTGTGTGTGCTAATCCATTCTTTCACCAAGATTCTTTGTCTTTATAATTTCTATCTTTATAATAACAAACAACAGCTGTTTCATGTGTAGGTTCATGTCATTTTCCGTTTCACATTTCACGTGTGTTTTCTTGACAAAATGATTGACATGATTTGGAGACCAGCGTCGGGTGACAGAGTCGCTGTCAGTTCATGCAGTGTGCGACCCCCATGTCACCAATCAGTCACATAATGTGAACACCACAACGGCTTCAAGACTCCCGTCACAAGACGGCAAGTGGTGTAGTGTGAACAGCACTGCCATCGGCTGACGCTGAAAATTGTGTAGTCTGCACGAACCTTAAGTGAACTATGCTGAAAACTTTTGCTAAATAACCAGAATGATCAGTGGAAGTGGCAGAGAAGTAAAGCATCTGGTGGGGTTTTGGGGACATACCATGTAGAGGTTGAGTGGGTTGGGTGGTGGGGAGAGGTCCATTTTTGCACATTTCTAGTTCGCTGTTCAGACGCTCGTTGTCTCGATGTCCTTTCACCACCTGCATGGTGTCGTATGTCTCCAGCTTCTGCATCTCTGCTCTCAGGTTCTTCAGCTTAGAGACAACAGCAGGAACAGACATCCAGTGTGTGAGCTTAAGCTGATGTTTTACATACACTATATAATAGGAAATGTATATTAACAAATATGATAGCACTTGAATCAGTGCTGTAAGTTGGCCAGTACTCAGTGGTACGCAGTACCAGCACTTACACGTTTTACTCTTTGGTGTGCCATGAAATCTTCTTCAACACCAGCACTTATCACAGACTGCTGGTACTCTTTTCTGTCCTCTCCATATTAAGTTCTCTGTGCAATTCCTATGGCCCTAAATAAACTGCATTACACAGGAGGCACTTTATGCTTGTTCTTTCAAGATGGTTTTTTTTGTGCCTAAACCTAACCAATCCTTGACCACATTGGTGTGATATCAGGAAACAATTTTACTTGTGAAACTGTCGAATAGTTGAATCTCAATGATAGGCTTTTGAAATGTTACAAATACCGTATTAACTCTCTGTAGCCAGGCTATCCAAATAAAGTGTTGCTGAGCCGATACACATGTGTAATAAAGGGAGTACTTTCACATTTTCCCCCACTTCAAGTGCTTGAATGCATCATTACCTGTCATCAGGTAAAACCAGATTGTCAAAATGGATCGGCTCATACAATGATGAAGCAAAAATAATTATTCAGACACCTATGATTTTAAAACCTCAGCACCAAACCCACAACAATCAATATGTTGCTTACACTGATAATACAGCTCCCAAATATAAAAATACATTGAAGTTACTATATAACTGTAATTCTAAAGTGTTTGTGGGAAAAACATTGCTGCATGACTGCATGACAGTGTCGTTATGTATGGCACCAGATGACAGCATGGGCAAACATTTTCAGTAGCTGCGTTCGAGATGATGACTTTGGCAGACTTGGTAGTCAAATGTGAGCTGCAGTGACTGCAGGGGCGGGGTATAAAAATGCCGCTGTAAAGTCGGACACATTCCACCTGCGTGAGCTTACTGTGAGCTTAGAACTATGACTGATCTCGCCGTCAAATGCAAGCGGAGACTGTGGCTGCTGGACTCAGCAACTGCAGCCGCCTTGCTCCCGCGAGGTTTTACAGTAAAATGCGAAAGTCGGACACAATTTCTGATCAGCATGCCTTATGTTAAGTCATGATGAATGATGAAAGTTAATGAACAACTATTCATGCAGTACCTTTAAACATTCTTTAATTGCTTTTGGCCACTTGGGGGCTGTGCCACAAACTGTAAAACACAACATTGACATAAAATCACCTTATAAAGTTGATATGGGGACATTATGTTAGCAAACAGATTCCTATTTATTAAGTAGATAGTAAGAAGAAATCTTTACCAGCTAGTTGCTAACTTTTGCACTGTAGGTTGCTCACAGTGGGTTTATTAGAGCTATTTTGCTAATAAGAAAAACATCTGCCTTGGTTGTTTTCAGTAAGACTGAACCAAAACATTACAACATGTTGGGGGCTTTAAAAGTAAAACAATGAGCTGACAGACGCTAAATACCTTGATAGATCTGAGCGGGTGATCATGCATATTGGTTTGTCACTACAGTCATCGCCATTCACATTGCAGTCTATCCATTGTTAATATAAAAATATGGATTATAGCCGACAAGGGAACTGCACCAATTTTGCAGTAGAAGATATTTTCAAGTATATTTCTTTCTATAGATACCATATATCAGACTACATTTTGAGCAGACTTGCACACAGGCGCTGCCTTCTTGAATGGTGTCAGTGTTGAACAGCTGGTGCTTTGTGAGTCTACCTGTTCAGTGGTGTCAGCAGTCAGACCCTGGTGTGCCTTGGTGGTGCTGTTGAGCCTGTCAGTGAGCTGCTTGATCTCCATCAGTTCATTCTCTATCACATACAGGCTGAGAACTGCGTAGAGGTCTCCGTCATCCTCCCTCTCCAGCATCGACACATCTTCCTGCAGCTGGGGCAGACGTCGCTCCAAACCCAGCAGCAGACTCTCCAGCTCCAGAGTCTGCAGAGAGAGCAGGTAGACTCTGTGTTCACACATACAGGAGTCTGTTTTACAGCTGTTGAGTTTGTGTTCTTTACAGTCTGGTTTAGAAAATAACATTAACTAGTTACCTTCTGTGGGGTGATGTTGCTGTTGCATTTTGATGCATTGCCCTCCACTGTGCTGAGTTTGTTATGAGGGAATGCCTTCTCTGAATTAGTCAGCTCACACGTACACTTATTTTGTGAAGATGCCTGAAATCAAGAATATCAAACATGGAATGTAAAAATAATACAAAATACAACATTTAAATATTTCTACATTTGAAATGGACATTTGTCATAAAATTTAAGGAGATGAAAGTAATTTTACAAAAGTAATAATAATCACTGTATTCTCAGGGCTTTCATACCTGTTGGATGATGGTGAACAGAGCACACAGTGGAACGATCACATACAGCTTCATGGTCGATCAGAGAGCAGCGCCAAATGAAACAGTCCCTGAACTCAGTTTGAATATGACTGTCTGTCCAGCCTTTGAACACTCCCACTAACCTCTGCATGTGAGTGAGTGAAAGTGCATGTGGGTTCGGTGTGTGCCTGATGTTTTCATCAGAATTACTTCCTCCTTACTGACAGATATTACTTAAGTCAAGTTATATATTTTGAACGAAACGAATACTTGGAAATAATGTGTTATTGTGATAGGTTGATTTTATCATAAGGTTAATTATTGACATGAGCTGCATAGGTAATAAAATAGTTTTTTCTTAAGTTATTGCTCATGATAGAGAGCGAAGTATACTAAATGAAGGAGACAAATGTCAGTGTTTTTTTTTCAGATTTAAAATTGTGGATTAATGACCATTTTCATGGACAACTATCTGTTTTATTTGACTTTTACCTTTTTAAAAAGAAAAGAAACATTATTCCTGTTCACACAACTATATGAGAAAACCTAAAGAACATGATAACTGTAGTATGTTGAACTACAGGTGAAAACAAGTTACTTTTTGTGTTTGAATGTATAACATAGCTGTTGTGTACAGCGTCTTGAGCACAACTGTGCCTACTATACTCCTTTTGTATTTTCTTTTGGTGTATTTTGGAAAGTGTATTGGAATCAGATCTTTTGGTGATTTTGCACTTTAAATAAAACTTGATTGATTAATATACGGTGAGGAAAATAAGTATTTGAACACCCTGATATTTTGCAAGTTCTCCCACTTAGAAATCATGGAGGGGTCTGAAATTGTCATCGTAGGTGCATGTCCACAAAAAAAAAAAAAAACATCCAGAAATCACAATGTATGATTTTTTAACTATATATTTGTATGATACAAGTATTTGAACACCTGAGAAAATCAATGTTATATTTGTTTGCAGTTACAGAGGTCAAATGTTTCCTGTAGTTTTTCACCAGGTTTGCACACACTGCAGGAGGGATTCTGGCCCACTCCTCCACACAGATCTTCTCTAGATCAGTCAGGTTTCTGGGCTGTCGCTGAGAAACACGGAGTTTGAGCTCCCTCCAAAGATTCTCTATTGGGTTTAGGTCTGGAGACTGGCTAGGCCACGCCAGAACCTTGATATGCTTCTTACAGAGCCACTCCTTGGTTATCCTGGCTGTGTGCTTCGGGTCATTGTCATGTTGGAAGACCCGGCCTCGACCCATCTTCAATGCTCTAACTGAGGGAAGGAGGTTGTTCCCCAAAATCTCACAGTACATGGCCCCGGTCATCCTCTCCTTAATACAGTGCAGTCGCCCTGTCCCATGTGCAGAAAAACAGCCCCAAAGCATGATGCTACCACCCCCATGCTTCACAGTAGGGATGGTGTTCTTGGGATGGTACTCATCATTCCTCTTCCTCCAAACACGGTTAGTGGAATTATGACCAAAAAGTTCTATTTTGGTCTCATCTGACCACATGACTTTCTCCCATGACTCCTCTGGATCATCCAAATGGTCATTGGCAAACTGAAGACGGGCCTTGACATGTGCTGGTTTAAGCAGGGGAACCTTCCGTGCCATGCGTGATTTCAAACCATGACGTCTTAGTGTATTACCAACAGTAACCTTGGAAACGGTGGTCCCAGCTCTTTTCAGGTCATTGACCAGCTCCTCCCGTGTAGTTCTGGCCTGATTTCTCACCTTTCTTAGGATCATTGAGACCCCACGAGGTGAGATCTTGCATGGAGCCCCGGTCCGAGGGAGACTGACAGTCATGTTTAGCTTCTTCCATTTTCTAATGATTGCTCCAACAGTGGACCTTTTTTCACCAAGCTGCTTGGCAATTTCCCCGTAGCCCTTTCCAGCCTTGTGGAGGTGTACAACTTTGTCTCTAGTGTCTTTGGACAGCTCTTTGGTCTTGGCCATGTTAGTAGTTGGATTCTTACTGATTGTATGGGTGGACAGGTGTCTTTATGCAGCTAACGACCTCAAACAGGTGCATCTAATTTAGGATAATAAATGGAGTGGAGGTGGACATTTTGAAGGCAGACTAACAGGTCTTTGAGAGTCAGAATTCTAGTTGATAGACAGGTGTTCAAATACTTATTTGCAACTGTATCATACAAATAAATAGTTAATAAATCATACATTGTGATTTGTGGATTTTTTTTTTTTTTAGATTATGTCTCTCACAGTGGACATGCACCTACGATGACAATTTCAGAGCCCTCCATGATTTCTAAGTGGGAGAACTGGGTGTTCAAATACTTATTTCCTCACTGTATATAAAACTGTTTATAGGAAAAGCAAATCAACTTTTGTTTATGCTGGTGACAAAATTATTAATATTAAAATAATTTTAGATATCCCTATTTAGAAGTGTATAATCAGAAACAAATGTTGCTCAGATACACCTCAGGTGCCAGTTTATGTCTCAACCTGAGAGATATGTTTTTCACTGCTTATTCAGATACAGTAGATAGTCTGTGGAGGCTGGAGGTTGTTCGTCCTACAGTGATGTAACTGGATGAAGGGAAGGAAATCCAAATGTGGAAGGAAAGTGTGACTAATATATGCATTTGGATTGTGGGTTTGCAGAGATGTACAAACAGTATCTATTCTGAAGATGTGGTTACAGATTCAGGAACAGAAAGTGACCATTTTGCAATGAGACAAACAAAAAATATCCAGACCCGAAGTGACTCCAGCATTTAAAATGAATGATTCATTATTTTGTATGTGTTATAAATGCAGTGTGTTCTTTAATTTCATTTAAAATGTGTTTCCTTGTAGGCTCTAACCTACCTAATTTTTAACAGTTGTTTTCTTCTCATGGCATAATTGTTGTAACTTTAATGGTGGTACTGTGTTGTATTCTTAATGTGTGATAACTGTGGTGTTATGGTTGTATTTCAATGTTTTGGGGAAGTCAAATTCCAAAGCCATCAATTTAAAAGGCGCCACATTTTTTCATTTGCTGATGATTCTGTTATTGGGTCCCTCCTCAACAGTGAAAACTCTGAACAGTTGTGAAACTACTGATTGGTGTAAATCATTCTTTTTAAACATTAATGTGGCAAAAACCGAATATGTGTATCAATTTCGCACTGTCATCTCTTCTGTTGTGATGGACAGTTGAACTGGTGCAGCAGAACAAATACCATGGTAATGTGATTGACAACAAACTGTGCTTTGAGCCCCAGGTTGATGCTGTGTGCATAAAAGCACATCAGCACATGCACTTTTCTGGTAAGCTTCGCAGTTTTATTGTCAACCCTGTTTTTGTTGTTTGAAAATGTTTTACTCCTGTTATATTGAATCGGTTCTTACCTTCTTTATCTGCTGGCATGGGTCACTTTCTTTCTGACAGAAAATTCGCCTACAAAGTATTGTAAAGTCATGTAGCAAAATTGTTGGTACACCCATGATCTTCATGACCTGTACAAGGTCACATCTTTAAAGAAAGTGAGAACAATCTTGGCTGATCCCAGCCGTCCCTTGTGGGGTGAATTAATGTTGCTACCATCAGATGCAGATTCTAACACGTTGCAGAACATATAGGCCATCCATCCATCCTCAACCGCTTATTCTGCGTACAGGGTCGCGGGGAGCTATAGCCAATCTGCCAAAGGCAGGGTCGCCAATCCATGCATGGCCACATATAGACAAACAACCACTCACGCTCACACTCACGGTGTCACCAATCAACCTAGGCCGCATGTCTTTGGACGGTGGGAGGAAGCCAGAGCACCCAGAGAGAACATGCAAACTCCACACAGAAAGGCTGTACCACCGCGCCACCCTAGAACATATCGGCAACAAAGGTAATTTATCCCTTCTGTTATCAGCCTTATAAATTGACTTCCTTGTAAATATAAGTTGTGTTGTGTTGTGATGTATGATGTATTATTTGTTGTTGTTGATCTGTTTGGTACTGCTGGCTGCGAACCAAATTGTCCCACGGAAAATAATGTTACCTTAAAATTGAATTTGAAATTTCCACAAAGGTGAAATAATCTAACTACAACATTTGTTGTGCATACTAACCTCTTTTAATGGTTCCACAAGTATGCACTAAAATGACCTGTCTTGGAGTGGGTTAGGATTAGAGAAGTCCCATCTTCCCCATATCCCAAATTGACACAGAAAAAGATTACTGTATATGTTGATAGTGGGATTATTTACAATTAGAGATGAAAAATTCACTGGCTTGATTTAACTTCAGGATGGGCACAACACTTTTAGATCAGCCTCTCTGAAAGCAGAATGGTACCTCTGAGGCTGTTATTATTTTAACTGGAAGTCAGAAGAATATATCTACAGGGTTAAAGCTAGAAGACAATTTGCTTTATTGAAATTCTCTATACATAGTGATGTGTGGCAATGAATAAAATAAAAGCTCTGACTAGTGTTTTAGTATTTGAGATCGCTCTTGTCCCAAAACCAATTTTTGAAGGTCTCAGTCTAGTCTCGGAATCGACCGCTTTTCTCAAACATAGAAGACTTAAGATTTTATTTCCAAACCACTAAGGACGACAACTGTGGGGTTATCAATAAATTCCCTGTGCATTGTCTGATTTATCTGCCATAATCCTAACTTTCATTGGATGTAAAACATTATTTTACCTGTCTATACTGGCATACTTTCTGAATGTTTCAGAGCAATAGATTCAGTTGCTTGCCAGCTATTTGCCACCTATTTAGAGGCACAAGCCTAACTTTGAATGAACATTATCATTTGTACATATTGGGTGAAGTAGCTAAGACACTGTTAACTTGTGATAAACAAAGACAAGACAGGTGACATAAATCTATGATTCCCAGAGCTCTTTCAACAGAAAAGAGCTCATGAACATCAGGGGAACAACTCCCTTTATTTCCCTCTTTTCTCGTCATCAGTGGAATTATTGAACATTTTGGTGAAGGGCACGCTTGCTGCTGTTCGGGCTGTGAAGCGCCGCAGGAGAGGAAAAAGAGCCTGGTCGCTTGTGCGTCTTCGCAGACGGGGACTCCGCACACCGCTGCCGGCAATATTTTTCTCCAACATTCGCTCACTGTGCAACAAGCTGGACGAACTTCAGCTACCAGCTAAAAAACAGAGGCTTTTATTCATCTTCTGATCTATCTGATACCGGAATCTGCGCTACAGC